AATATTAACATTTTTATTTTAATTTAACAAAATTAAGCAATATATTGGGCACTGTTTAGATTTGAATAACTATATAACTTCATAATGCTAAAAATTTAAGTCTAATTCGTGTCCTCATACTACACAATCGTCTCAATAAAATATTTAAAAATTTTTCCGCTTCGATTCCGACTTTGATATTTCAGTTTTATAATATAATAAAATATCTCTAGTACTGAATATAATTTTAATGCTCCTATAAATAATTTTGTACATAAGAATGACTAAAATATCATTGCAGCGGTCAACCTCCAGTTGAGAAAGGGTCGCAAATACCGAAATACCAAAGTACTTCGAAGGTTCCCATACACATTCGTATTCGAATGATTCACACAATAATTACTCATATCTCACCGGTGAAATGCCCAATGTAAGCGCTGCGTCTCAAACTTTTATTGCTGTGCTATTATACTCGTATATTCCGGCATAACAACGGCCATTAAAGCCAGCAACAACTAAATCAACGTGATTTTCGTGTGAAAATCTCACAATTTCCCCTCGGGCCTAGTGAGAGACTAAAGACAATTCCATACAAATCGTCTTTGGCGATTGTCTTGTCCACGATTCAGTTAGCCTGGCGGTATTTTTTCACTGCTTTTCGCTGTATGTCAGACTGTCCGTGTCTCTGTCAAAATATAAGCGAATATGGAGCGCAGAAAAATCCCACATTTGGCTGACTAACTACGAGTAACTAACCAATAGTTTTTAATGTGAATGAGAATGTGAATGTGAATGGAGTTACCGTTTTTGTTGTTGTTCTTGTATCGGTGTTGCCCTTTGGCTCCAACCGGCGAATATACAACGCCGATTTACCCGCGTGGCATTTGGACATCACGTTTGCCGCGCTTGTTTGTTATTTGTTGCTACATAAAGTATTGTTATTGTAGTGTTTGTTGTCGCTGCTGTTTGTGGCGTTTGTGGCGTTTGTGTTTTGTTTCAAACGCCCCAAATTTAAGCCGAATTTCTATTTATTTGTCAAAGACATTTGTGGGCTTACCTTCAAACAAACGCTTGCATGCTCAGTTTGCAGCGGCTCTGGACAGACATCACAAATGGATAAACACGCCATTGCGAATCTCCACATGCACAGATACCACCATGAGCAACAATTACAACTGTCTGTTCGAATGGTGAAACCTTAGGCAAGTGTGTGGCATTTATTTGAGTCAATCTGTGATAATTCCGCAATGGCAGCAAGCAGCAAGCAGCAAGTACAACATTCACTGCTAAAACGCCAAGTCAAATCAACAACAACCTAAGCGCCAACGAACATTTTCCCGCTTTGTCGTGCTCTGGCGATGCGTTGTGTTGATTTCGTTCTTAATTCTTTTATTCATTTAGTGAACGGAAAGGTCGATTTGCGCTATTTATCGGTGATATCGTAGGCTCACGATGATATTTACTGTCAACTAGTTTGGGGGGTTTCCGACAACGCAAATTGTCTGGGAATAGGAAGTGACGATATGGTTAAAGTTTTAGAAAATTTGAATTTTTCAAACCATGTAATAATCTTAAAGGGCGAGAATTTCTAATTTGTTGGTGACACAAGCAAAAGATACAAATCCGGGAACTATCCTAAATATATATGTACATTATGTTTTTAATTTAAAATTGTTCAATATCTTCAAAACATTATAACAACCCATAATGAGACATCTTTTGTTGAATGAGAAGAAATGCTTTCTGTCAATACCAAGATTTCCTGAGTGTCTTCTTTGGACTCACGTTACTCTTGACAACTATATGTTCAAAGTTGTGAAAGACTTTGTTTGTTTTGGAATTAGTGTAAACACCAAAAATTAGCTTACAGATTCAACGAAGAATCACTATTGCCAACAAATGTTATTTTAGACTAAGTAGACAGCTAAGAAAATAGCTTGAAAAATAGCCAATAGCGATAAGAAAGGTTTTAGAAGCATTCGATAGAAAAATATATTCAAAAGATCTATGGTTGGTAACAAGTACCGAACTAGATGGAACGATGAACTACATAAACTAACAAAATTTAACAGCTTCGCTGATTTGGTCATGTCATGCGAACGGAAAAAATATTCCGGCTAAAAAGCTATTTGATTTGGCTCCAACTAGATAATTAAGAGGACCATATTACTGATTATTTTATGACACTCGATACTAACAACTGAAGGCGGAACCTACTGAACACGGGCAAGAATGACTCACGTCTGTAATGGGTAACTAAGTAAGTAAAGAAGTCATTTAGTACTAAACCAATATATATACTTTGGCTTAAGGCTTGTCATGTTGAATATTTATATTTAATTCCAGTTAAATATTATTCATCTAAAATTATTAAGAAAATAATAATTTTAAGTTCATTTATTTATGTTGTTAACTTTTTACACTATATAAACTCAGAAGCTTGAAAAAATTTTAATCCACCAATGCTAATATTCAATTTCAATTGATTCTGTTGTCACAGATATAAAAAGCTTCCGATATAAGAACTTATATCGTTGGCCTCGGTTGAGAAGTTTTGAATATTATTTTGTACGGACGCAATTACTTGAAATTTTTATATAGTAAGATATGCACTTATTAGTGTCATCCTTCATACGAAATTTAAATGTTTATTCAGAAAAGAGCTATAAGAGTTATTGAAACAATTTATACAATGGTTCTAACAGACATTAAGGAATTTTAAATTGTATTTCTGTAAGCAGAAACCAAACCTCATAGATTCTAAACAATTTATTTAATGGTTAAGAAATTGTATTAGTATTTAATTCAAATTTAAATTTAAAAAAAACTTGAATTAAGTATTATCTAATCGATAAGAGGACAAACTATGTATCTTCGTATCTATGACAGCCTTCTTTGTAATAATGAAATATTTTATTTACTGTTATTTATTTTACTAAACTCTTGTGCTTCTAAATTTCAATCTTTAGTTTCTCTTTCCAAATTACGTATTTATTTTATTATGTTTTTTAATTTAAAGAAATTAATATCAATCTTATGTCAAGATATATCAAACATTCCGTGATATATCTATTAAATACTGGTGGCAAGTTATAATTTCCTATCTTGGTTTCTGTGAAATAAAAGTTTAACCTTGCATAAATATATTAAGATTATGAAATAAGATATAAGACATCTTTGAACTTTCAAGCTCTTCTGATTAGTCAGCAGCGCATAGAGTGCACATAGTTCCCTTAAATTAAACTACTACACACATTAGACTTAATCAAATTTGACAGCACTTCCTTAAATATTAGAACTACTTAAAAATCACAATCAAAACTATCGAAATTCAAGAGTTCAATTTATTCAAGTATATTAAAATGAAAATCTATTTTCCAGTTACAATAATAATTAGAGATATAAAATAAAAAGGTCCGAAGAACAAGTAAAGAAAATATAATGCGAGAGTATAAATTTATATTAGTGGTTTTGATTAACTTCATTAATGTTTCATAAGAAATACCATATATATTTTTTCAATTCAAAAAGAAGCTATGTTGTATTACGTTCTATGAAATAGTAGCATTTTAAATCGAAACTAAGTAAGTGGATAGCTAGCATTTTTACTGATCTAAGGTATATACAAAAAATTATGCGAATATTTGCTAAGTAAATAACTTTTGGTTCTTTCGAGAAAAAGTGAGTTATGTTTTGAACTATGTTTTACTTCTGTATATTATTATAATATTATTTAATTTTGAATTAACTATCTTAGACTGTTATAATACAGCTTCGAGTCAGTAATGGAGATATTTTCGAAAACTCTACATCTTTTCCTTTTTTCTGTTATTATTCTTTTCCTATTGTTATAAAGAACTGTCCTTTATAACATTTATAATGTAATTCTCATAGGATAAGAACATTTATAATGTAATAGCCCAATAGATTTAAAAATTGTTGGAATTTATCATATTTTTTCCGAAATGTAGGTTTTAAACTGTGTCTAAAATTATTTCTTATTGGCAGATGACAAACCTCATAAATCTCAAAAGTTATAGTTTGTAAATTTATTTAGTATTTTACAATTGGAAATATTAACAACTCTAAATATATAAACTTTCTTAAAGAAACCATTCTTCGTCGAATGTCCACTGAATATTAAATAAACATCTATAAACCAATTATTCGAAAAACACCTATCAGATACTCAGGATGAAATATGTATGAAATTGAGCTACAAAACAAGCTTAACAACTAACCATTCACTCAAAGTTATTAAAGATAAATTTGCATTGCAGACATTTTCAATAAATAATTATACAAAAACAGAATAGTGTTGAAATTTAACAATTAAAATATATACCTAAATATAATTAATAAATTCAGTTATTCTACAGCTGGTTTATGATTTCGTTCTAATATAACACAGCAAGTGAATTTATTAATAAAACTTTAGTAGCAAATTAACAAAACCCCAGAAAAATGTGCGCACTGAAAGGCAAGTACGGCTTAGGGTCAGTTGGTTAAGAAGCGCTGACTCTGAGTTTCAAATTTGGCAGGGCACGAGTACAATCCCTGGTACTAGCAGTCTCAAAACATTATTTACAAATAATTAAATACAATAACTATTTCCAAGACTACTGATGATGATTGGTAACTGTATGGTCAGTCAAAAATTCAATTAATTAAAATAATATAGAAGAGTTTTTTGTTGTTGTAGTTCACTACTTTTTGAAAACCACTTTAAAAATGTGTATAGATATTAAAATTTATAAAACATATTAACAAATACAAAATTAAGATAATAAATAAATGATAAAAATGTTTAGGTTGTTAGATGAAATAGTCATACGAGAAGTAAAAAAGCGGTAAGAAGATTTCATCTATATTTTTAAGATCAAGTGTACTTTTTACTAAGTTCATCTAAGTCGATGGTATCCCCATCAACCAAAGAAATTAGATTAATTAAATATAATGAAATTATCATCAATCGCAATAGCGCGGCGTTAAGTATGGTATGTGTTAAGTAAAGTGCTTACCTCTTTGGACAAGACGGCTCCACTGTCAACGGAGATCTTTGTTCCAATGCAACAAATGAAGTTCTACAAATAATGAAGAGGCACATCCAGTTCAAAAAATATGAAAAAAGAAAAAAAATGTTTACGTTAGTTGGGAAGGGGAGTGCTGCTAAGTCGTTCGGTAAGAGTGCACATAAAACTGTTGCTGGCATTGAAGACATGCCGGCAAATTCCTTAGCACTTACACACTTACAGAGTTACACACTTCTCAGGCAAAGATAACAATAAAAGAAAATTCCAAAAATACCCACACACAATACCCACAAAGAAAAGAAAGACCTAATAGCATTGGCAACTGTGAGCACTTCACAGCACGTGTCCATTCACAAAATTCTCTGCCTGCGTGCCTTACACGCAAACGTATTTTGAATTTTATGAATGAAATTTTATATTAGAATTCTCGCACTTCAAATACAATCGAAACTTTTTATGAATTTATGAATATTGTATATGATTGTATATGAACAATAAAATTTTTATTTTGCCCTGTGTTTAATTATAGAACTTCTTACTATGCAAATATGGAATTGAACAATTGAACTCACAAAATATTTCTCAAATTGAGGAAATGCACTTTTGCGTCTAAATTTTTACTTTCCAAAAACAAAATTCAAGTTCACTTCTCTAATTTGTTTAATTTAATTTATTTCAACACAAATGTCTCCAATTGTGTGTTAGGATTTCTTTCAGAGCTTCTTTCACTTCTTTCTATTCCCGTTTTACCGAGCACCATTTACCTGACTTGCATTCGCGTCAAATGTTTGCTCCAAACTGAAAATGTGTTGTCTTTATTATCCTGTCCTGATTCTGTTGTACGTTGACGTTGTACGTTGTGCGTTGTACGTGTGTGTTGCAACCGCCTCTCAAACTGCTTCCAACCACTTCAGATTGCTTCAAACGTTCGTGTCGTTGCCAACTCGTTCGAAACGACCACAAAACTAACACTTCTCATACACTGCTTGCATGTTGTACGACCGACGACGTATTCAATGCTTAACTTGTTTTTCTCTTATTTTTGGTTTTTTCCTTCTTAAATCAAACGACCTTGGTGCGGCAGCGCAAAAGCTTTTTTACAGTTTGTTGTTATTGTTATTGTTATTGTTGTTGTGTTTCCTTTGTGCTTGGTGAATGCTTTGTTGCTGTGTTATTTTCTCAAGATGCTCTGCTTAGAGTTGTGTTGCTATCGCTGCACTTAAAGCCGCCGTTATTACTTTTAATGGTTAATATCCGGTTCAAGTGTTTGAGAGTTACTGATGCAACAAATACTTAATTAACGGTAGATTTTTAGCCGCAGTTGGTATTGAATTTGTTGTTGTAGACGTTGTTTGTGTGATTGTTGGGTGCACATTAAGTCATCGACGACAACTGGAAATGGCAATTAGAAAAAATGTTTAATGTTTTAGCTAACAAAAAAAATATGTACGAAAAAAACATATTTTCACGCAAATACTAACAAATAAATAAATGAATAATTTAATGACCGGAATCAATAAAAAATTTTAACTTTTTTTACATGTTTAAAAACACCTTTTATACACATAAAGTGTAAAGGATATGCCATTAAGTTTCCCAAAGTATCTGCAACTTAGTGAAAAAGTCATCGAAGAAAATATAAAATACATTTGTTGTTAGTTTGCATACCATGTCGGCGGTCGTTACTACCAACTAGCGACAGCAAGCAACTAATCAGGCTGGCTGACGGAGGCTACTCGACCCGGCTATAGACGACACACGTCTGTAATGGCCAACTAAGTAAGTAAGTAAGTAAATCGGTCCATCAGTTTTTTGTTTATAGTTTTTGATGCTTTTAATGACAATTTAAGCATCGGAAGTCAAATCAATATCAGGACTATACAGACCAGATGCGATCGCGGGTCAATACCAATCACTGTACAGATTGAAGGGCCGCAAAAACATATACATACGTTCATAGTTGTTTTCAACAAAAATAAAATTACGGTTATAAAGTTAAATTAAGTTTTATTAATTTGCCAATTGAAATTCATTTACTTGGTATACCATAAAAATAAAATAGTGTGTTTTTAGCAGTACATCAAAAGAAAATATATGTAAATTAAAAACATATAGCAGGCCGCACATACATTAGCCTCGGACCGCATGTAACCTATGGGCCGTGCTTTGAACAGTCCTGATCTATAGGTTATATCCTTCTAAGATTAAGTCGTCGCATAGACAAGTAGACATATTCAAATGATACCAATCGACTTACCGAAAGCATTTTAAATTTGAGCCAAAATATGATCAACTAAGGCATTTTTTTAAAATAAAATAAATAAAATAACTGAAATTAAAATACTTGTACTCTACCACTTTATTGTGAGTGGTAGAATGGTATTATTACTGCAACACCCACCCCCCTTACATCTATGTATATGTATTTAATTTAATATGTATAATCATGATATTTATAAAAATACATTTTTATGTGAAAATTGGAAGTGTCATAAGTTTTGAAATTATATGCAATTGCATAAAATTGAAAAGGAAATTGAGTTTTAGAAAAAATTGAACCAACTTCAAACTCTTATAATCTTTTAACTATTTTTTGTTTTTTAAACCTGAAGAACATTGCATAGATAGATTTTCAATTTTCATAAACAATAAAATATAATAAGTGAGAATGTAAAAAAAATCAACAATTTTTTATGAAGTTTTTAATTCTATCTGTTATATACCCAAAAAATTTTTCCGAACTAATAATTTCATAACTAATAATTTTTTTGTCACTGAAAGCCAAATGTTAAAGCTTTAAAAAAGAGAACAAAAAAATGTGCGTCACACTCTATTTTTAATACTTATTTCAGCCAGAAATCACTACTTAATGATCCAAATAATGAACTTAATTAAACTTTTATGTATTAACCCAGCAAAGCTATAAGCCATAAGATAATAATACTTATTGTTTTATAAATATTTAGTTTGTTTATACTATATTTTAAACTCCAAACAAATCGGTTGAAAAACAACGAAGTTATCACACTTTATGTTCACATACATGTCCTGCGATTTACTGCAGGTCAGATTTGAATATATATTGAGCATAAATTGAATATTCTTTCTTAATTTAGATGTTTCTCTAGAAAAATGTTGGTTTCTATCAAATTTATACTTATTAATACATAAATGCTTTTAACTATAATTTGACAAAAATTTATATTTTTAATTGTTTTTAATTCACTATTTTTTTTCAACAAATATTTGAATGTACACACAATTTAGTTTACCTTAAATTTTTTCTCACATTCGTAAGACTTTTTAATTGTGAAAACATAATATTTGACAGATTGCAACAGTGGTGCCAATAAGTCAGCAAAATACTTTAGCAAGAGACTTAAGCAAGTCACTTTAACAAGAGACTTGGTGTTTTTTGCCGTACTTACAGGAGCAACCGAATACACCTAATATCTAACTTAATTTCCTCATCTCATCGATTAACTTTCTCTAATGTATTTGTGTGAAACACACATAAAACTTAATTGTTTTATATTAATATAATAATAAATATTTTAAGATTACATCCTAGTTGTTGCTAACTTAGGTCTGCATGATCAATAATATTTGTATATTTTAAAAAGCTAAAAAGTTGTATCGCCTGTAAAATATTTTACATACTCGTTTTTTCAAAGTTTCGAACCACAGACTTAAAACAATTTAATTATTAGCAAAACATTTCGATTTCGAAGCGATTATTAAGTGGAAAATTATTACTGCCTTAGCGATTGCAACAATGTGTCGTTGTTGTTGGTAGTTTCGGTGCTGCCAGAGTTGCTTATGATGCGAATAATGATAAAGAATAGAGCAGCGCGCCCGAGGCAAACAAATTTAAATGTATAGGTAAGGTAAACTTAGCAGGAGAATAGAATTTGCGAAGCATGCGAACCATGCCTCTCTACTACATATCATTTATATAAGGGGAGGTAACATATTTTAACAGCTGCAACAACGACAACAATACAAGCAGTCGTAACATTTTATCCAAAGGCAAAGCAAAGAAAAACTTGTGATAAATTAACCGCAGGCCACAATTTCAAATAAAATCGCCGGCAGCAAATCAGCTGTAATTAGAATGACGTCAATCATGAAAACGACTGAAATGTGCATACATAAAGATACTATCCGCAATCCACAATCCGCTATCTTCTATCTGTTAACTGCTCCCATAAAATATACAGGGTGTTTAATTGAAATATTTGATGAAACTGCGGAAAGTGCAGCTAAAGAAATAAGTAATATTCATTTGGAATACACGCTAGAATGCTATTGCAAACAATTACGATTTCAACCGCGTTTAAAAATGTATCTTAGACTATGTTTAGTTAATACCCGTTCAAAAAAATAATCGTTCATATGATATATATGTATATAAAATTTTCTATCTCTGTGGCTATAAAAGAACTTCTATTGAATGTGTGAAATTATGTATGTAAGTATGTTGAAATATGTCGTCACTAGTGATGGCAGCATTTGCAGTGATGAGCTGGTTTATTTCCTTTTTTATAGTATTTTATTGTTGCATAGTATGAGGCGCACAAGCAATTGTTTAAATAAGCCTATGGCTAAATTTATATATTATTCGTCATATGAATATTTATTGCTGTTGTTGTTATTGTTATTGTTATTGTAGTTGCTATTTATATGACATATCAAAATTTTTTGTTGTCGCTCGTTTCAGCACAATAATGACTTGTCCCTGGAATACATCCCCCACCCAATTTTGGTGCACCGAATGCACAGTTTCAAGCCGCAATCAACCTCAACAATAGCAAATCGCTGACGTTTTACCGCTCGTTTTATATCAGACCGCATTGAAATATTTTATATGGTTACTTATTTTGTTTTACTTTTCGTTTTTCCTTTTGTTTTTGCTTTTGTTGCTTTTGCAGAAATGAAAAAATTACAAATACGAGAGTACATTACAAGCCAATTTGCTGCACGTTCCCTAGGGGTTTATCTTTACAACAACAACAACAGCAACAACAATAGCAGCAACAACAACAACGCCAACAAAAGCGGCACCAACAACACATTTCGACGAAATATGAAAAATGGAACAAAATTATTGTGTGAAATTATAATCGGTCAAGGCGACTTTCATTTCCAGGAATAAAATAAAAAATATGCAATAATGTTTACGGGCATTTACTTCTGCCAGCTTATAATGAAATATTATTGTTAAGAAATAATGAGTATAATTATGTGAAAATTGATCTAAACTGTAAATAATAAGGAAGGAAATGTTTATATACTGGTATCTTGCACATGTATTAGATACTAATATTGTACGTTTGATACATGAGAAAATTCTGTTTATCTTATCTGTTTACACTATTTCCATCAACACAGTACCACGATTAATTCGATAATTATTGTGTCTAAATGATTTAATTGTTTAATAATTATTTCCACTTAACCCTACCTCAAAACATAGCAGTGCCGCAATCGTGTTTGCAAATCAATTATTCTGAAGTTTGGGTTAATATTGCGTATTGAATACACCAATTCATATTATTAATAATATTTAAGTACTCAATTGTGTCAAATAAAAAAATAAAAATAAAAAGCTATAGTTGGATTCCAATAGGAACGAAAAGACAAGGACAAAAATTTTATTTCATTTATTGAAATTTGGCTGACCATATAACGCTGTTTCGAGTCTAAATAGTGTCAACAAATTATATACGGACTATAAACTAATTAAAAAATTCGAATATTTCCTAAAACCACTAATGATGAGTACTTGGCAATACAGCGTTGTATGGTCAGTAAACTAAATAAAATTTTTGTCCTTGTCTTTTCTTTGCTATTCGAATCAGTCTTATTTCTAAATAGTCATATAATTTTCGTCACAAAGACGCTTCACCATCGGCAAGAAAAAATTAACATTAAATAACTATATTGTTAACCTATATTCAACATTTTTGCAAAATGAGAAGCATTATTAATGAAGTCTTTTACATTTGTATACATTATTGGATATTGATTTTCTTTTATAAAATAGTTTGCTTTTGTCTCATACGACTTCGTAAATATCAATTTACCAAAACCAGCACAATCATTACATGGTAATCTTTAAATAAATTGCATATAGATATATAGATTGCAATATATTATCAAAAAATAACACATATATTAATATAAATAGCCAAATATTTGAGACAAGGGAAAAATCACATTAAATTCAACGCTATGATTTATAATTTTTATAGATAATAATGTTAGTTTTTAAGGACAGGTCTTCATCTCTGTCCTTATCGTCATCAACCATCAGATGCCCGTCGCAACATAGGTCAAATATCTCCGTTTACAACAAATGTGAACTAAATATTATATGGTTACTTGATAAA